CGCTTCTACAATTTTCTCTTCCAATGTGGGGCTCTCATGGAATAGCTTAAGACGGTGTCCATTGACTTTGAATTTTTTATCAGTACCTTCACTTTTTATACCTGGATCAAATAACATTCTTCTATAGGTAAAAGTGTTTAATGGACAAGTGAAAGTGGTCTTCTCTTTATCCTCTAGTTCAATATAGATCTCAATTTTCACAACATCGGAAATCAAGGGGTTAAGTCGCCTTTGGGACTGCTTCACTGCTTTTGCTCCATCTTCAAGTAAGATCTGATGCATACACATTGATGAGCTAATACCACGAATATCAGCAAGGTCCACCCAATTGCCTTCTTATGTTTATTTAATACCTGCAACACTTTTTGTTCATGTTCACATTCAAGTTTAGATAAAATTTTATAGTCAAATTTTCTTCAAATTCGAATAATGTATATTTTAAATTTGAAGGGAGTGACTTAAGCTCTAAAGTAGATGGTTGCTCAATAGATGACAAAATTTTGACAGCATTAACTACATTTACATCTACAACATCAACTTTGTCAGTAGAAATCTCATAATAAATATTAGTATAAATATCACCTTGTAAAGCAACTTCAACTTAAGTACAAATTGAACATAAATGACTAATAGTACAAACATCACAAATACAAGTGTCATTAAAATCAAACAAATAAGGGAAATCAACAAAAAGTGAATAAGGTGGAGAAAATTCTCTTAAGGTTCTTTGTTCAGCCATATTATGATATTTAAACTCAAAATCAAAATCAAACAATGAATGGGAGAACACATAATTAAAATCACTAGTAGTCATGCATCATGAACCAGGAATGCAATAATTATGAAAATACCAAGAACATCCCTAATGAGAAAAACAATTGTAAAAAAATAAAAACAAAAATTATTAAAATAAAATATGGAAATATCACTAAAAATCAAATTAAATCAAAATAAGGCACTACAATTTCTTTCCAGATTTTTTTTGATAATATGAAAATGGTAAATAAATAACAAAAAATAGAAAAACAAGGAATACTTACAGAGTCACCTGATACACTGAAATACTTACCATTATACTGCAACCCTGAAATTCAACAAACAAAAACAAAAAACAAAAAAAAATTCTAACAAAACTCTAAACTAGTATTCTAAAGTTAGTTAATATTATCAAAAAGTCCCCGACAATGGCGCCGATTTCGTCCGCTGGCGCACACGGGTAAAAATACGAGTTAATAAAATGTAGTATATGGAAGCGACACTCGAGTCGTATCGCATAGACTCTTTGTTAAATTAACCAACTAAATAAAAATAATGGAGTTTAAGTTTTTGATTAAGTTTATGATTAAAAGAAACGAATATGATTAACGAGTTAATCTATCGGTTCAGTTTCCTACTTATCATTGATTGCTATTTTACCAATTTCCTAAGCGGATTCGAATTTCTTTTAATTCTAGTACCGATCAAATAAGTGTAATCGATAATATATGAATTACATTTCTATTTACTGAATTATGCAAACAGTTACATATAGAGCAATAAACGAAAAAACTAAGTTTAATCGTGATTAAAGTTGAGAACATGCATTAATCAAAATTAATCAACTCTACTCTATAAATTACGAATTAAGAAAATGAAAAATCACATAACAGAATTGAAAGGAAAGAAATTGAATAGGGAAATATTATAACCTCAAAGTTTTACAGAATCCTAGAATAGTAGATCAATAAGAGGTTTACCCTTTCTTGAAATTTGTGCGTCTAATTGTTATTTAGTGACAAGAAAACATAATAAAAACATAAGTTGCGATTTTAGTTTTAAGTATTACAAGGGAATTCAGACCCTAATGGAACCCGACCCGAAAAAGCATAAAAATTGGCCCAAACTAATTATTTTCTTACGTCTGGAATTAAAACGAATTATTCGACCCTTCTGCATTTCGAATTAGCTTATGACTTCAACACTAAACTTGTATCTTATCCTCTCAGTTTTCAACTCATATTAGAACGCATCAATCCGATTCTCATAGCTCATGTTATGAACTGCAGAGCGAGAAGGTGACAAATTACCATTTATTCAGAAAATAAATAATCGAATTAAAATAAAAGGATAAATAAGCTAAAATTAGGAACTACACTCAAAATAGTAAAATAACAACAACAAGTCATAAAAAATCTCTTAGCACAAAGTTAAATTTGGTGAATTAAAATACATTGATCAACCACCACCAACAACGATTTATGTCAAAAGGTGAAAATAATATGATGTAAATGTAAACCTGAACTGAAGAACAACTTTGTTTTAGTTACTTGTCGAAAACAAAAGGACCCTACATAATAAATCATAACAACAATTTAAAAAAAAAAACCCAACAACAACCAAAACAAAAATTAAGAACTATCACAAAAGAAGTTAAAAAATATAATTTCAACAAACCTTCAGCTCACGGATCTGGAAACATGCATCCAAATAAATCACAAGACAAAAATGACAGAAAACAAACCAACCAAAAAACTTAGCAAATAATAAATTTTACTGAATCAAAAGATTCAACCTTGCAAACATGAGCAGTGAGTGAGAAGAAGAGAGCGAGGGTTTTGTTTCATCAGAAAAGAATCAGTGAATTGGAGGTTTGTTTGATCAGAGAGAGAAAAAGATAGAGATAGAGAGAGTGTATGTGTGTGTATTTGTGCGCACGCGCGTGTGTGTATGTGTGTGTGTGTGTGTGTGTGTGTGTGTGTGTGTGTGTGTGAGAGAGAGAGAGAGAGAGAGAGAGAGAGTGTGTGTGTGTGTGAGAGAGAGAGAGAGAGAGAGAGAGAGAGAGAGAGAGAGAGAGAGAGAGAGAGAGAAGGGAATGAACGAAGGTGAGTTATGGTGAGCAACGGTGGTGGTGGATGCTGAAATGTTGGTGGTAGTGAAAATGGTATAAAGAGATGGTGGATATGTTGGTGACTATGGTTGCATTCGATCAGAAGGATAGAGAGAGTGTGAGAATGTGAAGTGGGGGAGTGAGAACGTGAGGCCAAGTTTCATCTGATGAGTATTACCCCCAACTTAAATGAATCTTAATAATTATTAGGGTGAAAATAAAACGAGTTGAGTTAGACTTTATCAAACATAAGTCTGATATGTTAAAAATATTAAAGTTTAAATTTGATCTATAGTTTATCATATGCTTATATTTTTGACCTAAACATGACATTTTTGAAGGTTTAGCTTACATGTTATTCTACTTAAAAACTTATATTATTTTAACATGGAAATTCCATTAATGTTTATATAAACTAAAAAACTAAAAAATTATATTAAAAGTTTCTTTCCATTGATTTATCTAACTTATCTAGTACCAAAATTATTCACTAACTTGTTGCCTAATCAACTTTAATATGTTAGTACTAGTTTCTTTCCATTGTTATTTTTATTACAAATTTTTATTCTTAAAGTCTTTAACATGTATTCTATAAATTAGCAAGAATCTAATTATTATCAAAACCTTACCACTAAATTAACATTTCACAAACAAATATATTTATCAACAATATATTTGATAATCTTTTAAACAAAGGTAATGGAGCTTATAAACAAAAGTAGGTATGGAACTTAGAAGAGAAAAAAAGTAGGTTTAGAGACGATACATTCAAACGTTATAGTCAATGTTTTAAAAATGAGTTATAATAACGAAGACAATAGTAGCTCACAATTTACTTATATGATATTGATTAAATGATATGGTTGAGGTGTTGACAACAAATTATAATTATCATAGCAAACAATCATGACCACAAAAGCTAGAATTTTATGCTAAATATTAATTTTTATACCCATTATTTCTATGATTTTTTCAATATATTACTAAGCATGATGCATAAATATAAACAGAAAATGATCGATAATCCGATTGATATATAAGCTTATCAATCAAATTTTGATTATTTCATTTTTATAAAATTGACTTCAAAATATTATAGAAGTATAATTGTTGAAAAAACTCTAATTTTAAAGTTAATTGAATTAATTTTGATAAATAAATAATTAATTTTTTTATTGATCTCGCTTGTTCTTGATCATTTACTCCGGTATAATATATGTTTATTTGTTGCAAAATGATTATATATACACTATATATATAGAATTGAAAGAAAAAACAATACAATTAAAAATTAGAAAAAATAGAAATTCTGAGAGAGTAAAATGAATGTATTGTTGTAGAAACTACATTCTAAGTATATGATATAATGTGTATTAATGATATCTATGATTTCGAAAATTAGTAAAGATATTATAAAATTTGTTATTCATTCGTGTTATAAATGAAATAGAACTGCTATATATTTATTGGTGTTGTATTCCAAATAATTAGTTACCTTAACTAAAATTAATCTAAGTCAATCTTCTTCGACTCTGTCGATTTTTTTGACAACTACTAAGGCATAATTTGACAGATTATATTAACATTCTATTGAATATATTAAATACTGACTCGGTTCGACACATATTATTTCGATATACACTAAGACACGTTTCGACCCGTAAAATACAAATATACTATTTTGATTTCGGCATAAAGAATTACAAATTTCACAATAACAACCTTCACTTCAAGTTAATAGCTAGTTTTGCTGACATCAACTTAACAATTATGCCAAACAATATATTATTTGCAATATACCAATAATATTCCTCCAAACCATTGAATGCAACCTCAATGTGGATAAAGACGCCCAAGTGTTATTATTATTATTATTCAAAAGAAATTTTTTTTAAAAAGTGAGTTAATAGATAGGTGAAGAAATTGTAGTCACTGATTGGAGCATGGCAAGAGTTTAGTGACGCATATTCTAAGTTAACATAAAAAGTCATTCCATGAACCAATCAAATCCATGCAACACTACACAAAATGACAAAAAACTTCAAAGATAAAAAGGACATTAATCTCTTTGCAAACATTTCAAACACCTTGGTTTCTCTTCAACCCTCCTTCACAAGAAAACTATTAGTCTATAATGGAAAGAACAACATGCTTTGAACTTCCACCTGGCTTCAGGTTTCATCCAACTGATGAAGAGTTAATTGTGTATTATCTTTGTAATCAAGCAACTTCACAACCATGTCCCGCATCTATCATCCCCGAAGTCGATATCTATAAATTCGATCCGTGGCAATTACCAGGTATATATAAATATTTTTACCGTATAAGATTCTATTTTGGCACGGATTAACCATAGTTCACATAGCTTCTGAAAACTTAAGACGATCCTGTATTTAGTAACTTCTTTTACGATGACATGCAGATAAATCAGAGTTCGGAGAAAATGAATGGTATTTTTTTAGTCCAAGGGAGAGAAAATATCCAAATGGGGTGAGGCCTAATAGAGCAACAGTTTCAGGTTATTGGAAAGCTACTGGAACAGACAAATCAATCTTTAGTGGATCTAAGCATATTGGGGTTAAGAAAGCTTTGGTTTTTTACAAGGGTAGGCCACCAAAAGGAATCAAAACGGATTGGATTATGCACGAATATAGGTTAATCGGATCAAGAAAACAAACCAATAGACAAATTGGATCCATGAGGGTAAGCTCTTTTCTCATTTTTTTTCTCAGAACCGTCTTAAATTTTTGAGGTTATGTACTTTAGATCTGTGCTGTAGTCCATTTTGCACACACTGAAAGACGGTCTAGTTGTTTTGCTTGAATTGACCTTAGTTTTGTGTTTGTATGTGTCAACACAGCTAGATGATTGGGTGTTATGTAGAATCTACAAGAAGAAGAACAACACAAAATCATTGGAGACAAACCATGATTACTCATCAAACCAAAACAACATGACACAAAGAAAAGATGATAATGAACAAGAATTGGTGAAATTTCCAAGGACATGTTCCCTTACTAATCTTTTGGAGATGGATTACATGGGACCTATATCACAAATATTATCAGATGGATCATATAATTCAACTTTTGAATATCAAATTAATACTGCAAATGATGGAATAATGGTTGAAATGGATACTACTAACAACCCTTATGGAGCTGATTCAGGGAAGTACCGTGGGAACCAAGTATGTGATTAGAGAGAATAATAACAAAAGAATAGATAATGACATTAATGGATTTTTAGGTATGACGATAAGGATTATCATTATAATAGTCATGAAGATTCTTTGTAGAAATATTTATATATTACATCACCCAATGAATGAATTTTCAGTTATATTCAAACTGATAGGTCCCTCAGAATATTAGTGATCCATTTTTTTCTAAATTTTTTTGTCAGAGTTTTTAAATCTTAAAATTTGTTCAGAATCCATCTCATAAACTAAAAATTCATTAAAAAAAATCAGATACAAAATGATAAATTTTATCTAAAACTTAATCAGTTCTTTATTACTTCATTCGTTTTTATATATAAAAGACAACTTATTTTTTAAATTCATTAAATAATTAATGTATTTGATCAATTTATAGACTAAATATATTGATTATTCAATAAATTTAAAAAGTGATTTGTATAGTATTATATATAAGTAAATGCTTATATCATGCTTAGTCATTAATTTACGGTTTAGCCACCCATAAGTTATACAATACGTTAAATATGAGTGTAAGTCGGAAATTAGGAATTAGGTACTTCTAGATAAGATAAATGTAGATGAAAGTTACTTATTGGTGCTTTAGTTCTCTAATATTTTTGTAGTTAGATATGATATTTTAGTTTTTTTTTTCTTGAAAGGGATAACATTGGAGTTCTGAACTACTTATCTTTAGGAGTATCTTTTATTGGGTCCAAAAGAATAATCTTTTTGATTGGGTTGTTGATGGTATCTTTATGAAAGTAGGTTGAGTCTCCAAATTTCTTTTTGAAAAGATCTTTGATTATGACACGTTCGAACTCTTCTCTACCTCCATTCAATCAAATGGATTAGTGGGAGAGAGAGATCTGGTGGATAACAAGGATCTTGTTTGAAATCTCAGATAAAAGAGATCTTTCTTTCTCTAAGAGTTTTTTTTATTGATAATCTCCTATTTATGCTCTCTCTTCTCTGTGTGTGTGGAGAGATAAGTGGATTTTGAAGCATACAAGAGAATGCTTTTTCTTTGTTGCATTTGCTTTGTTGCACTTGACAGATTCATTGTTGTCCCTTACGATTGAGACCTTGACGCTTCCACTTATTTGAGTTAGTTGGGTTCCTTCTAAAGTCATAGTCTTCTCACGGTAGATTTTGCATTATAGATTCCCTTTTAGAGAGAACCTATCTAAAAAGGGGAATGATTTCTGATTCTAGTGTGATTTATTAATATTTCTAAGGGGGTTTTGGTCAAGTCGATCTCCCACACTTTTTCACTTGTGAGTTAGTTCCATCTGTGTGGTATAAATTTTTCTAGTGGTTGGGTTGACATGTGGCTCTCCCTAATGAGCATAGACTTCTTTTAAAATTTTCCGTTTCTTTAGGAGGTAGGATCAAGTTTACGAATGATTTTATTATGATCTGACACGTTGCAGTCTAGATTATTTGGAGAGTCCATTATAATGTCATATTTACTAGAGTTTCAAAACTTGTGAAAGATGGTGGTGAGAATAGCAGTTTTTTGATCGAAAAAAGATTTTTAGGTACATCAAAGATAGTTACCCTGACAATCTTAAAAATCATATTCTTTGTCTCAACCAATTACTCTAACAACCTTTAGAATCCTATCATCTGTTTCAACCAATAGTAAATCGTGTATTTACCTTAATTTTAAGGTTGGTACTACCTTGTGATATTATTCTCTTAGTAGATTCTAATATGATAATGCTAGTGTTTTAGTAGTTTGAACTCTAACATGAATTCTTCGATTTGGACGCTTTTCATAAACAATAATGCTAGTGTTTTAGTAGTTTGAACTCTAACATGAATTCTTCGATTTGGACGCTTTTCATAAACAATAATGCTAGTGTTTTAGTAATTTGAACTCTAACATGAATTCTTCGATTTGGACGCTTTTCATAAACAACTTTGCTTGTTTTAGCAGGTTGTGGTGTGTTTTTTTTTTCTTAATGATTTTCTTAATCCTTCCTTAGTATTCTCTTAGGCATTGCTTGTACTTTGAATTTTTTTTTTTTTTTGGGTATATAGGTAGTTATTACCCTTTTATTAATATATTTATTTTAACATTAAAAAAACAAATAATTATTTAATGTGATAAACGAAACAATTGACAATTGACCAAAATGAGAGGAAACAATTGCAACTATTATTAGTCAAATAATTGAAGCAAGAAAGAGTTATAAAAAATACTACTTAAATTTTATGTTGGTACTTTGTTGTTGCTTATCCAAAATGATGACGGCTAAGTACATTAAAAACAATAATAGTAATAATAATAGTTATATATGTACGAATAAAACAAAATACAAATTGTCACCATTAGGGAGAGACGTGTTGAGGAAGTTATTATATGCGCATGCGTTGTTGTGTATTGCGGCTGAGCCTTACACATCTAGTAAGACTAAAACGAATCCTATGTTTTTGCTTTCTCACCAAAGTGCTACTTAATACCATTAATTAACTTATTTTAGAGTAGAAGCTAAGCAAATCAATTATTTGAATAAGTCGCATGGTATTGCGGTTTTTCATCACAAAGATAAGGAATTATAAGCATATATACAAGATCATCTAAGGATTTTTATTCTTCTTTTGTTGATGTAAAGATTATTTAACATCAAACCATTAGAGATATACAAATCCAAGCAGAAGCTATGAAATTAGTCTCTGCTTTCTTTCTTGCCATTCCTCAATGTTAGCTTCAACTTTTGCTTGCACAGTTGAATGAAATCCTGGATATGGTTCATAACCAAATACAGTCTGGAGAATCTACAGCAAACAAATGGCCTCACATTCAGACATCATTATGAAACATTGACACAGATACAACTTTGACATGTATCTTTGTATGACTATGTCTGACACCAACACGTGTTGAATGTCATACATGTCTTCGATCTGAAGTGTCAGTAGTGAATACTTTCAAGCAATAAAACTATGTTAGGACATTTATAAAAAATTTATGTGTAATAATACCTCGAGCAATACAAAGAAAGGAGCCATTATTAAAGCCTGGGTGAGGTTATCCAAAAGAGCGGGTGCCCGTTTCTGTAGGTAAAGGAATCTCTGATTTATATATGAAAGGGTAAGTCAGGAATTGAGTTATTTTAGCAGAAGCTTACCTCAAATACTCCATGACCGATGAACTGTCCTATCCAACATACCAGCTGAACAACCAGAACAACCTACACATGAGATTGTTTGAGAATCAAGATCAAAGAGCAAAAATGTCAAATGTTGTGTCAATATTTATGCAAGAATCAAAAAAATATTTTCTTATCCACGTTTGGTATTGTGCATTTTCAGCATGATATAACATAATAGTACCATGAGTTTTGTATTTTCACTCCCTTTTTCCTTCATCTGAATTTATAGAAACCAAATTTTCCAAAACCGATGCTATAATTTTCTTAACATCAAGAATGCGAATGGTGGAAACAGACATAAGCACCCGAAATTGAAAAGATGAAAGAATGTGAGTTAAGTAATAGAGAGCAAAAGTATGACCGATGAACAAGCAGACATGAAAATCATATAACGGCAATACTGTGTGTAGATCAGAAGTTCTACTTTTACTTTATAGACACGGTCATTAGAGAAGAAGACCAAATATTTTTGCATTATAATAGTAACTGTAAGAATATAAAGTTCCAAAGACTATATTTCTTTATTGCAACATTAGTGTTATCAATAGCATGCTATTGCAATGTAGCGGCTTAGCGGAGCAGAACGGTAACCGCCACTAGAGAAGCAAAAAATAGAGGATGATTCGGCACTATAACGTCATACCTCAGAAATGAGTTAAATTTAAAAGAAACGCTAAAATTCAAATGTTATGCCTTTTTTCCGGGAGTGTTTTAGTAATTTTACCATTAAAAAAAGACTAGCACAAGTTAAACTTCTCCTCTCTCACTCTATCTTGCAGTCATTTTCGACTCTCTTGCTAGGAATCGGCAAAATACCAACCATCTCTCTAATCACTATCTCACCTATAGCATATGCAACCCTATAAAACCTCGTGACAATTGCTCTAACTTATAAACACATGTTAAGACCACTTATTGTCTATGTAGGACTCTTAACAGGTTCAAACAAATTCGATGAAGGAGAAAATACAAACCTAAGGATTAGAGGAATGTACACAACACCCTCTCTTACATGACTTAACATCTCATATACTGACGTTTGCCTATTAGAAAAGAAAATAGTTGTTTCCTATGAAGCGCAGACTCGGACATGGACACCAGGACACGACACGACACGGACACTCCGACACTGATAATTTCAAAACGTAGGACACCGATACCGCTATATATACGAGAGTATTTCACCTTTATTTATCCATTTATGATTTAAAATTTTTAAAAAATTCTAATGAAAATTAATGTCTTTAATTCTTTATTGATATCATTGCTTAAAAAAAACAAATTTTTGTTTGAAACACTTCTCTAAATTGTCTTATATATGTGATATGAATGTCTTAAGGGTGTTAACCAAAGAAAAAAACTATTTTTTTAGTGCACACTTGTCTGTGTCTGACTTTTCTGACATGTGTCGTACTGATGTCATACGAGTGTCGGATACCGACGATGAGAACAAGAAAACATAAAACATGTTCCTTTCTCCAAAGGGGAAAGAAAATAAAACTTGCATCAAGCAAAGCAATGTAGCATCCACACCTTAAAAAAAAAGTGTCTCTGTGTAAGTGTCTGGTATCGTGTTTCCGGTGTTTGAAAAAAAAAAATACAATGCACAAAAGTAACAACGTTACCTTCCAAGCTAGATGCCATCCAAGTTGATTAGCAACAAAACAGCTCCCAACCCAACAAACAACACAAAGCAAAGCAGCCAAAGAACCCGCTTTCAGATCCAAACTAGCATAAAAAACTGAGTAAACTAAAGTAAACAAGAACCCTAAATTCCAAACTAATACAAAATTGTTCCCAAATAATAAAAATTCAAAATTTGGCAGATTAAAAAAGGGAGGGGAGAAGTAGAGAAAAACAAGGGCTGAGAAGAAAATTGGCCAAACGAATAACACATGAATCGCTATGTTAATTGGATTGCTATGATAAGCTCCATAGAAAGCGAAATGCTTTTCAAGATCAAATAATCCAGTTCTTCCCATATAGAAGAATAAAAGAAAAGGTTTGTATTAGTTTGATGAGGAATTTATATGAAAATTGAATAGTTTTTGAGGAAAATATTAATTATTTGAGGAAATGGAATTCGGGGAAGAATGTGAAGGTTGAATTCGTAGAGGAGAAGGAAAAGGAAAGAACGTTACGCCAAAACGAAATGATCATATAAGTGATGTGAGGATGCGAGGTGGTAAAGGTTGGAATATCTTTTTTTAAACAAGGGTGGGTAAAATTGTTTTAACTTTTCTCTTTTAATAATGGATTTTTTTTTTTTGCTTTTTCAAATTACTTTTATATAACCTAAATTATAATTTTATTTAAATTTTCAATAAAATATTAGTGTTTATTTTTTTATGATACTTTTTTTATGTATTACTTGCCTCTTCTAATTCTTTAAAGATTTACATATATATATATATATAGTTGATATATGTAAATATATTTATTTTTTGTTTTAATCTTGTAATTTTTTATTTGATTTTGATTTTTACAAATATTTTTATGTTGTCTATTCTTTTATTTTAGTCTTGCAAATTTTGTTTATATTGAAATATTTTTTTGTATGATATTTTATTTAAATATTTATTGCATTAATATTAAACGAATTAAAGTAAAAAGGTATTTATAAAGATTAAAATTATATAAAAATAATTATAATTTTTAATATGTTTGAAATATTCAAACCTTTAAATAATGATATAATTTGAAATGGAAAGACACGTAAAAACAAAGTTTTTCAAAAAATAATTTGGGCTCCTAATGGATAGATGGGCCGTAACATGACTACGTGATGAGAAATTACATGCTACCCCTCATTTCATACCCGATCTTTCGTATTTTTAATATTTCAAAAATATCTTTGTTAATATTTACGTAAAAAAATAGAACTTTTTTTTTTCAAAAATTTCACTTTTCTTTACTTAAGATTTCAAATTTTCGGCAATAGTTTGAAATATCCGATATGTGTTGTTGCGTAAATTTTAAAATTTCACGTATATTCATTGGAAATTTCAGAAAATTCGATATACATTACCGGGAAGTTGTAAATATCTAATATTTTATACAGGAAATTTTGATAACATAGACTTTTGTTAACAATACTAAAAAAATTGAAATTTCTGATATGCCGGAAATTTCACCTGCAACTGAAATTTCCGGTAACATAGAGTAAGTCAAAAAAATGCTTTCTTTATGCGGTCCGGAGCTGGCAGGGTAATCTACGGATTCGTGTAGCGATTGCACGCAGTTTTTCACCACAGACAAAGTATGTTTTCTATGTAACAAGTTAAAATTTAATATTTTCGTTGCGTTATATGATATTGATATTATACTTTTTATGTAACGTAAACGATGTATATTTGAGGGTCAAGCTGAAGTATTAGCCTGAGCACAACGTATTAGCAAGCAACACGGTATTATAGTTGTGACTGATTGTTCTAATACCACAAATGGTCATGATATATTAGGTCATCTAAAAGATCATGAGAGACAGTTTGTGAATGAGATGACGAAGTACAACATGGCTTCATGGTGCATAGTTTCTGCGTTGAAAGAGAAAGATCCAGAAAATCTCATCAGTGTTACCCAAGTGTATAAAGTTAGAGCTACATACAATGCGAATAAGAAAGGTACATTGACGGAAATGAAAATATGGCTGACTCTTATTCATAAAGAAAAATATATGTGCTGGACAAGAAATAGGAAAGACTCAAATGTTATTGCTGATATCTTCTGGGCACATCTTTATTCAGTGAATTTGTTGAATATCTTTCACTTGGTGTTGACTTTTTATTGTACATACAAGAAATAATTGGTAATGTGTATCTTGATCATACCTTAATAACATTTCGACATACTTTGATTTATCATATTTTTTATTATTTGAATCGTGATAATACAGATACCGATTACCCCTGCTTAAGTTTGTTGGCGTTACATAAACAAAGTTGACGTTTTCGGTAGGGTTTGCCTATTTGGAACATGAAAGGGATGAGAACTTCACATGGACACTGGAGAAGCTCAAAGAGTTATTTTGTTCTGAGAAATTGCTATTGAATGTTGTTGTTATGGACCTAGAACTTGCAATGATGAATCCAATTGAAATTGTGTTTCCAAATTCAACACATAGGTTATATTCGTTCTATATTACCAAAAAATTTAGCATGAAATGTAAGGAGTATGTTAAATCAGAAAGACATGAACATATCATGGATCTATGAAACAACGTCATATATGCTAATAGAGAAACTGAGTATCTCGCAAACTTGAAGCACTTTAAAATTGTTTGTGTTGATATTCCTTTGTTTGTTAAGTATGTGAAAGAAAAATGGTTGACACCTTATAAAGAAAGCTTTATGGCTGCTTGTGCTAACAAAGTCACTCATTTAGGGAACACAACAAAGACCAGGTACAGAAACTTCTTTTTCGATGTTATTACTAAGCATAATTTATCGTGTTGGCTCATTATGGTTTAATTATTGTGATTTAAGGCGGAGTCTGCTCATTGGAGACTGAAAAACATGTTGACTACAAGTCGGGGAGATTTATTTCGAAGTTGGGGTGCTGTGAACACCATGTTGAAGTGTGAGCTAGGTTCAATCAGAGTGTCATTTCAAAAAAGTATTGTCAATATTGAGCATCGGTATAACACTGCATTATATGCCAACTTGCATAGTTTTGTTTCAAGGCAGTATATACAACATATAAGAAATTAGCTAGAAAGTGTAAAATTTGTTGGTACAAGCAAGGATATTTGTGGTTGCTTCGTTAGAACTACACATGGGTTACCTTGTGTGTGTCAACTTGCTGGTTTCCAAATACAAGGCTTGGTTGTTCCTTTAGAACCAATTCATGTTTTTTAGAAAAAGTTACACGTTCAAGAGCATGCTAACGGTCATGACGATAGTGGCACAATACTGGATTTAGAGGAAGAGTGTGAAGAGTTGAAGACATGTTTCAATTATTTGGATATTGTAGGACAGATGGTGTTCAAGAAAAAGGTTCATGTACTAACACATCCATCCACAACTTTTATGTGTCCACCGTCGGTGAAGTACAAGTCAAAGAGAGGAGTTAAAAAGAGCAGAAAGGGTGAAGAGAGTGATATACATCATGATCCCTCACGGTGAGAGTATGGTGAGGGTTCACAGGGGAGTCAGACTACAAAGAGATCATGCACAAAACTAACAGGAAGTCAACCTTCTAGTATGTCAGGTTAAAGTCAACAGTCCACTGCATCTTTAAGACATTTTTACTTGTCTCAGTTTCCTGGTTTCTTGCATCCATACATTGATGACATTGTTGATGTGGGTGACGATGGAAATTATATTTTTTTTGGGCTATTGCAGCTTTACTTGGATGGGACGAAGAGTCATGATTGTTGGTTCAGACGCAGTTGAATACTCAAGTTCATCAACACCCAAAATTATTTTCCAATTTGTTCTATGACACGGTTGTTGAAGTTAGGAATTCCTTAAAAGTAAAAAACTTGGTTATATAGGGTATAGAGAAATGGATGTCGATTCTTGATACAGGTTACCCTATTTCAAGTAGGTACAACGTCGTACTTGTCTCTGTATCACTGAGACTTAACATTACCTTTTTTCCTCTTACCATAGTTCCACCTATGTATACGAGCAGGCATAAAATCATTGTTGTTGGTTTTGTCAATGACAATCATTAGATTCAGGTAAAATTAAACAATGATAATCCATTGCCTCCCGTCATTGACCGTTGGAGACAGAGTTGTACTAAAAATGCAAAAAGCATGGAAATCAGCATATGCAGGACCAATTAGGTACTGGGAGGAAGAACTTAGGAAGTCATCTTAATTTTCTATGTAAACTTGTGCACATTATATATTTATTATATGTGAAACCATATATGCAGAGCAATGTGTCAAAAACATTGAAAATTTTCATTTTTGGGATATTCTATTGATATACTGGAAATTTACGACATAGCTTCCCGGGGATTTCAAAATTTTCGGTAGACAATACCGGAAATTTCAAAATTTCCGGTTTGTGTCTCACATACACGTTCAACCATGGTAAATTTTTAGAAATTTACGGTATCCAACTAGAAATTTCATGATTTCCAAAAAATTTTAAAGGCAAAAATGGAATTTTGCCATAATTCAGGGGGGTGCCAGGTATAAGTGGGGGATGACAGATTAATTCCTCCTAGGTGACCCACAACATGAAGAATATTTCAATTCTACTAACAAATTAGACTTGAGAATTATTCTTCCCACTTTTAGTGGTGAAGAACCATCTTTAGGAAATCCAAAAATATCTTAGAATAATACAAAAGTTAAATTTTGGACACCCCCAAAATCACACTAAAATATTTTGTAAATAAGTTACTCCCATTTTGCCAAAAAAATAATACGGAAGTCAACCTCCGTATTAGTAGAAAGACGAGTATGTATGTTAAGTTTTAGACTAACCTCATAAGACACATTTTAAACTTATGGTTGTGTGTTTATTTCACAACTTAGTGTTTATTACACAAGTTAAGTTCAGTGTTAATCCTTAGGACATAAAATCTCCCTCAAGGACAGTATTTTTGTTATAAATTTGACATTTTTTAATATACCTTATATAATTCAATCAAACCATACGTTGATCCCAAAATACAATAAAAATATTATGTATGATTCAATCAAATCATATAATTATGTAATTCAACCAAAATACCATATATTAAGTCAAAATACAAATTATCAAAATACCAAAAAAAAGTCAACTACTAGGTATATCTAACCTCTCGAGCTCCTCTTCTGCCTCTTGTGACGCAAGGCATTTTTTACCTCAACTATCATGACCTCTACAATGCCCCTCCCAAGATTTCCTTCGTGAAACTCTCATCTTTTTATACCCGCTCGCCTAATAGCCACAATATGATGACATACAATTAACACATCAATGACATGATATGTTATACTCTGCCTCTCCTTTAATATCTCTTGATGAGTTGGCTTAGTTGG